TCCTTACAAAAAGACTTAAAGCTTCAGAGAATCTCTGAAGTGCAAACAGAAGAGTTAACATAAGCAAACAATGACAAAGGACAACATCTCAATTTAAAAAAAAATTTTTAAAGAAAAAAGTACAAGCGGAACTTGATTTATGTAATAAATACCCAAGTATGTATAAACGGAGTTAAGTGATATTTATTGGGCTTTATATCAGTATATCTGTTATGAAATGAACAAAAGTATGATACTAGATGAGAAGATATTAATTTGGTTTAGATTCAGAAGACATGTACTCTAGATCTACAGTTAAATTGAAACCTGGGAAAGACCATACTTAAAAAGGCCAAGGTCTTTCACTGCATGGGGGCCATCTGAAGTCATCCTGAGCTATATCTGGCCACTGGACCCAGATGGCTCAGGAAGAGAGAGTGAGGCTGGTGACTCTGCACAGCCCTCCCTCACTTAAATCCAATTCAATTGCAAGTAATGGCATCACCTTCAGGTTGCCATGGTCCTCTTAAAGGACAAATAACAACAGTACAGACCAGTTAACCAAGCAGGAAATGTCAACACAAGGAGTTTCGATGAAATCAAAGGTCCAAACAACCAAAGAGGGGAGGGGGAGAGTAGCTTCACAAAGAAGAAGCACAGCTTAGTAGAAAGAGTAGTGGGCTCAGAATAAGGAAGACCTAGGTTCAAATTCTGCCTCACACTAGCAGGGTAGGGGTGGGAAAATGACTTATAAATTTCTATTTATAGAAAGCCCCTAGGTCAAGGACCTGTTGTGAGCTGCCTAAAAATTCCTTACACTGAAAAAAATCACAGATCCTTCTAAATTTTATCTTTCCTTAAAAGTTATTAAACTTGTAATTACATATAATTACTATTTATTAACTAGATTTTTAATTGAAAGAGAGCTTGATGCAGTAGACAGAAGGCCAGCTTCAGAATCAGAATAACCTGGGTTCAAGTTGTACCTGACACAAATTGGTTGGGGGACACTGACCAAGTCAAGGTCACATAATCCAACTCTTACAGATTATAAATTAGAAAAAAGGCACTGGGTGGGTGTGTACTGGTGGAGGTTATTTCCTCACTTGCTATATCTATCAAAACAAATTATCACTAGTACAGCATTTAAGAAATGTATAAGAGATAAGGAACAGTCAATACGAGAAGGGGGAAAAAAAGAGCTCTTTAAGAGAACTGTTCACTTTGCACAATATTCTGAAACCATTTCCACAAAATGTACACTCATAAATTGACCCCATCATTTCGTGCAACTCTGGGGAAGTAAAACCTTTCAATCACTTCATAGGGTTAAATAACTCTTTCTTTTTAAAGAACAAAGGCCTCAGTGAAAGGTCAGAATCCTTCAAAGCCCTTTAATAGCTGAATATCTAGTTTTAATTGTCTGATTTCAAGCATGAGGCTGAGAAGGTTAAGGGAGATTACTGATTGCAGACTAGGTAGAGGATGCTAGTAGCCCAAGGGCATAGAACTGACAGACTCTATTAACAAGGGTCTAAAGCTCTAAACATTTATATCACAGTCAATCTACTTCTATACTCCCAAACAGAAACCTCCTCCTTTCCAAAGTTCCTAGAAGACAGGCCCAGGGTACAGACAAATAGAGGAAAATGAAATTAAGCAAGGACTTCCCTGGTCATCATGCACAACAGATCATGTGCCAACATGAGAATTATCTACCAGCAAAGCTGAACAGAAAGCTGACTGATAACATAAAAACTGCTCGTTTCCAAGAGCCCTTCCTCAAAATTACACATACACCCCCCCCTTAACCATGGCTTACCTATCTTATGCGTCTGAGCGTCAGAATTCTCTATTTCCCTGATAGTGCAATAAACAGATGAAAGAATCCCACAACTGTCTATTTTAGAAGGGGAGAGGAACTTTGCTTCCACTGTAAATAACAAATGGGGATTCTTAAATACTGAATTAGAATCGAGACAGATTGGCAAGGCAATAAGATTGAAATATGGTCATAAATTGTCAAAGAAAACCAAAAGATCTCTAATAAAAAGCCAAAATAATTTTAACTAGTTGTTACCTTAAGCCTTGCCTAACAGCTGGTACAACTTTTTAAAATGGTAACAAATGTTTATTTTATTTTTTTAAATATTTCCACAGGGGCTATGAATTTACTTGCTCCTACATTACAGAAGGATAAATTTGGTGCTTTTATATATGAGCTTGCATTCATTCAGTACCTAAGTTACATGAGGCTATTGTTTAAAGCATTAATTTTTCATTCCCAAGTTTAAAATACCTGGGTAGAGATGCAAAGGCATAGAAAAAAAATTTCCAATTGCTCTTTCCCTTCATTCTAGCCCAAAGCCTTCTCAAAAACAATGATAATTTTCCAAGTAAACCAAATTATGCATAATACTTTTATACCACCACTTCAGGGGATTCTTTATTAACACCAGTCAGGAGGACCTCATTGTAACCTAACCTAATAACGTTTTTTTATCTGTAAAAATGCAATACATACATATATATATATACACACACATACATATATATATGTATGTATGCATAAATATGGCACACACACATATATATATACACATATGTATATTTTTAATTTTTTTCTCCAAAATGTCTATCGTATTCCTCTTGCCAACAAATATAACAAAAATTTTTTTGTCTTAGGTTTTCCCCTCTATCTCCTTACTAAACCTAATCTCTCTCTTCAAACCAAAGGTTTGTATGTTCTCACATTTTCCCAAAACACAGTGCTACTTTAATTTTATTTCTAAAGGTTATTTCAAATTATTAATCATACCCTTATTTTTAACCTCCATGCCTAAAGGTTATCAAGTGTGATCTCTCATGCAAGAAAGGAATCCTCTCTTCAATATCTCTAGCAAATGATCACTCAGCCAATGTTTTTAACAACTCATTTCAAGAGGTAGGAAACTCACTATTTCAGCTGCCACCCCAGTGGGGTTCCAATACTTATTGGCTCAGTAACCACGGACATACTAAAGTACTTACCCTCTCTTAGAGCCAAGGTTCCCTCTAGTAAAACAGGGAGGGTAGCTACTGTACCTATCTCACAAACGAGATAATACAGCAAAGCAATTTGTGAACCTGAGAGCAACTATGTAAATGTTAGTTATTAAAGTGCTCTAAGTGCTTAATGCTCTAATCAGCACTAAGTAAAGTTGTAGTACCTCCCTACTCTAGACATCACACTTTAAATCAATGTGGCCTAAGAATGCATTAGCAATCTAGAGAGGCCACATTGATCAAAAATCAACAAGCACTTATAGGTACTGTGCTAAATAAATGCCGAGTATACACAAAGAGGCAAAAACAGTCTCTGCCCTCTCCTGGTGGGGGAGACAGTAAATAAACAAGTAGGTACCAAATAGATGAAAAGTGTGGTGCAATAGAAAGAGTGCTGGGCCTGGAATCTACCCGAATTCAAATCTGGCTTCAGACACTTACCGGCTGTGTGATCCTGGGGAAGTCACTTAACCATTTTTGCCCTAGCTCCTCATCTGTAAAATGAGCTGCAGAAGGAAATGACATTGCCAGACATATTTTAAAAAATTTATTTTGGTAGAAGGCAGGATGGATTGCAGTGGAGAAACTTGAGTAAGGAAGACCAGTTAGAAGGCTCCTGTAATAGTGTAGGTGACAAGTGATGAAGGTCAGTTTAAGGGTGGTGGCTATGTGAGTTTTAGAAGGGGGACACACCAGATGTTGTGAAGGCAGATATGACAAGATTTGGCAATGAACTGGACATTTGGACCACGGGAGGAGCAGATGATCCCAAGGTTGCTAACCTGAATAAATGTCCACTACAATTCATTATTTTAAGCAATTACATCTGAAGAAATGATGCTTCCATTACTCTGTTATGCAATGCTTAACAACTGAGAATTAAAAATATAGTTAAGGCATTTTTAGCCAGAGAAGAACCTGAAGGAGTTAAACGTTCTTGTACTAAAAACATGCACATATAAGTTCAAACTAAATTTTACTTGCAAATTTTTCATTTATTTATTTTTGCTGAGGACTACTATTCCACAAGTGCCTGGCACCTATTAAAGACTTAGGTTTTTCCATTCCATCCCATCTCATTAAAGTTTTCCCTGATTCAAACACGAATTCACTAACATTAAATCACTGTTTCAAATATGTACTAAATATATCCTGAAATGTATAGCAGGGATTCCCCCCAAAAATAACTTGGTCACATCCTAATGGTTTTTCGGGTACCTGAGAGGTGATCAAAAACAAAGTATTACGTTTTGAACATTTCACATTTAAGAAGGACTTATGTCACTAGTACTGGGAGGAGGAAGGGAGTGGTGAGGGTAAAAGGAAACCAAACAATGGATGTCATAATTCCAAGAAGACTGAGAATCACCCCACTGCCCTACAGATTATAACTGGCATGAAACAGATGGGAAAGAAACACCTCTAGGTATCCAATCCAATCTAAAGGCACTAATGATGTAATTATCCCTTAAGCCCTTATTTTTTATTATTTTTAAGCAGTCTCCATGTTTTTACACATTGTAGCAACATAAATATCTGTTGGTCAATTAAGCTTTTTTTCCCCCCCAGAGAAGGAGTTGGCAAACATGAGGTCAAATCCCAACTTTGCTACTTACTACATTTGTGACCATGAGTAGATTATTTCTTGCTAGGTCTGTTTCCTTATCTGTAAAAGAGGTGAGGAACCCTTAGGAATGACATCTAAAGTCCCTTACAGCTCTAAATTTATAATCCTATTAATCTGGGGTCTGCAAAAGTAATAATTTACACATGGAATCCTTTATATACACTCTATAAAATATAACATCTAAGTACATTTGTTCAAGCTGACCTTCGCAACTATTTAGCCTAAGAATTGCAAATCCCAGTTTTCTGAATAACTTAAGCACAACAAATTTTCTGAAACCAGAAAAACCTTGCATGTTCATTACATAGACATTTCAAAAGGCAGGAGAAAAAAAGTAAGAGCTGTATACCTTTTACTCTTAATCCACTTTAAATCCAAGATAATTTCTTTAGCCTTTTCAACCATAACATCATTGCTGCAATGTGCCCTCTACAAACCCTGGTGACCAAGGAACATGAAAACAAAACTCAACAAGAGTTTCCCTATGACTCTCCTTCCTCCAAACCTGCCCCCCCTCCTATCAGTGTTATTAACTACACAAGAGTGATTAAGTCAACATTATTTGATGCCAGGTGGTGCCCACATTCACAGCCCTAAACTTAGGTAGCCCCCCACCTATCTCTTGACAGCTAGCTGAGAAAAAGCAAAACTTAACTAATGTGCCTGCAGACACACTGTACGGATAAAGAGGCTGTGATTTAACTTTGCTCTTGGCTTCCAGACAAAATTCAAATACACACAGGCTGTGCCAATACTGATTAACAAGATTTTCTTGCCCACCTTCCATTTACCTACATAAAAATAAACAGATTAATATGAAAAAAGTAGGAAGATAGGAAGGTGCCAATGGCCAATAAACCAATTTTTTAATAACTTCTATAATATAGGGACTGCTTGAGAAGGGCACAATAACACTCTCCTTATTCCCAAAGCATATATCTCTAGCTCTTGCTTTCCCACCTACCACCCCCTTCCTTTTTCTGTCCCCAATTAAATTTCATGTTTATGTGAATTGGGAAAATATGGAGTACTATTTGGGGGCCTCATAAACTTTAAATTCTTAATTTATTTTCTCAACTGCAAGGAAGAAGTCAGGAGAGCACAATGTTATGACTCTCAGGGCAGAACTCAAAATTTATAGTATCCAGTAATTTTCTAACTTGGAAAGTTAGCAAATTACTCATATGCTTTCTTCCTTTTCTGTGGCATTTATTAAATTCTTTAGACCTTGTAAGTATTAGCACTAGTTCAGCAAATTTTTGCCATATTCAAAAGCTTAAGATGTTCAATCACTGTTTGTTACACATTCTAAAGTTAACAAAGTTTTATACATAGCTATGATATGAAAAGGTCTGTCTGTAAATACTAAAAACCATAATACCAAATACCAATACATATACAGCATTTATTTTTTTTAAGTACCAAGAGGAGTTCCTGGGAAAAGCCCAAATTTCTAAGATATCAGACACAATGGTGCTAGGATAAAAAGCTGTCTCCATAGCATAATAAACTCAAATAGCTTCACTAGGGCTGATAAAGCACAAAACAAGTTAACTTTGTGTTATCATGTACCATGCCACCAAAAGCTCCCTTGAAACAGTCTGTCTCTCTACCTACCTTTTGGTCTGCTTTTCTCTCTGTCTCTATCTTCCCCTCTCTCTGTCTTTCTTTCTGCCTCCTCTCTGCCCTGGCTCTGTTTCTCTTTTTCTCACATGAAAAATTTTCAATCAGAGAGAAGCAGAAAGAACAATCTTTGGATGAATAAAATAAAGATTAAAACACCAGCTATACACATTGAAGCTATATACAAAGAAGCAATATACATAGAAGATACATAGAAACTCTTAGGCTTACTAATTTTTTTTTGATGAAGAATTAGATTAAGGATTTAGTGGAGTTTTCCCCCCTCCTTTGAAGTTTGATTCTTTGAATATTCATTGAAGTCAGAAACATAGCAACAAGTCAAAAGAGTACTACACATGAGGATTTAAAGATAATTTTATTGAACTGTGCTGAAGTTTCAAAACACATGCTCTTCAATCAAAAACAGCTGAGGATAGTTGAGGCATATAAAAAGATGAGTAAAAATTAGGAGCGCATTTTACTAGGAGAACCTAGAATACGGCAATTAGCAATAAGTATACCATAGGCATAGAATTAGAAAGTTGGGTTTTATTTGTTTTGTAGTAACGTTGCAAGGTTTCCCCAACTCGACGATGGCCAGAAAACATTCAGCGTTTGACTTTTTTTTCCTCCTCTCTTCTGGCAAGAAGATTATGGTTTAAGTTCCACATTTATCCTAAAGGGGCATACCTGTGTATACAGATGATGCAGAGTTGGCAGTCCGGGAGTGAGCGGAAACACCCCCTTTTCGAGAAATGAACGTAACCCACTGCACATGCACACACGATCACAGGCAGATAGGCACGAATGCACCGTATAGTACACATGAGAATACATACACACGGGGGCACACATCTACACTCTTACAGAAACACGCGATCAAGCTCTCACACACGGATACACATAGGTGGTGTATGCTGGGTGGCGCAGTGGATCAAGCGCTGGACCTAGAGTCATTAAGACCTTGGTTCAAATCCAGCCTCAGGCACGTACCAGCCCTTAGACCAAAGTTCCTTAACCTCTCAGAGCCTCAGTTTCCTTATCTGTAAATTGAGGTTAACAATAGCGCCTACCTCCGGGGTTTGTGATAAGATTCAAAGGAGGCACCGTGGGTAAAGCGGTTTGCAAACCTAAAAGCGCTATGGAAATACTTACTAAGGCCATCCCGAGCTGACGCACCACCTCAGAGCTCACCGAGCTGCCCACGCCCCCGCACGCCTCCACTCATTTACTCAGAGAAACACACGCGCGAGCCCGTCTCCAGGCACCCGCAGGCGCGCGCCCGCGCCCGGGACCTGCCAGGCGCGGGCAACCTGTGTGTGTGTGCGCGCGCGCGCGCGTGTGCGTGCGTGTGTAAGAAAAGGACGAGCGGGAAGCAATAAATGAACTCGGCTGCGTCCTCCCCGGGTACCCCCCAGCCCCCGCCCCAGAAGCCCAAGGGGAGTCAGAAGCAGAGCAGCCCCTCACCCGCGCCGGCTCGGGGGGCCGGGGGGCGTGACAATGCCGAAACTGCGGAGCAGACAGGGAGGATGCAGAGGCAGGGGAGGGGGGGGAAGGAGCGGGGCTGGGCCGGGTCACTTACCCGCTGCATGGCTTTCAGGATCAAAGCCAGCTCGTACCGAGGCATGCCGGAGCTCGCGGGCACGGGCTCCGCTGTAGCGACGGCGGGAGGGCGGCCGGCCGCCGGAGGGGCGCGGCGAGGCGAGGCGAGGCTAGGCGAGCCGGGGTTCCCGGGGCGGGGAAGGGGAAAGACAAGGACGAACAGCGGCTACCTCGCTCCCAGCAGCAAAGGCAAGTTACAGCCCGGGAGTCCGGGCTTAAAGGCTCCCGCAGCTGCGCAGAGCGACTCTTCCATGCGCGGCCGGGCAGGCTCCTCCCCGGCCTTAAAGGGGCCGCGGCGCTCCGCCGAAGCAGCAGCCCCCCGCCCCCGCCCCCGCCGCTCTCCGCCCCCAGCCTCGCACGTGGTCCCCGGGCCCTGTGGGCCCCCCAACTGGGTGCAGGAAGCAGCTGCCAAGTCCAGGCCGGGCTCCTGGGGCGGCGACAGAGGCAGGACACCCTGTCGCCTTCTTCCTGCCACCCCGCCTACTACCTAGGCTTCTGGAAGCCTCTAGCACTTACTGCGTCCCTTCGCGGGGATGCTCTCCCATCCTGGGCTTGCGGCTGCCCGTCTGCCGCGCTCCCTCCCCGGGCTGGTGCGCTGACCTCTGGGGAAGGGCCGGGCCGGCCAGGGGCAGCGATTCGGGTCCGAGCAGCTCACGAGACCGAGGCAGGTTTCGGGAGCTGCTGAAGAAGGAGCAAAGGGCGGAGAGAAGTTAACATTTCTTGGTGGCAAAACAGTCGATCCACAAGCATTTATTAAGTGCCTGTTATGTACCAGGCTCAGGGCTAAGCTCCGAAATTGCAAATCTAAAGAATGAAGCAACCCTGACCCATTCTAACCGGAGAAACAATGAGTACACAAATAACTATATGGAGGACAAATAGAAAATAAATACAAAGTAGAGGAATACAGGGTAGTTTGGGAGGGAGGACACCAGCAACTATGGTTTCAAATGAGAAGTGATGCTCGGCGGCACCTTGGCTTAAGAGAGATGCTAGCTAGGAGGCAGGCAGGCAGCTGGCTTTTATTTATTAAGCGCTTACTAAGTGCCAGGCACTGTGCTAAGCACTGGAGATACAAAGACAAAAATCGGTACCTGCTTTCAAGGAGCTCACAGTCTAGATGAAGGGCCTTCCAGGCTCAAGGTCTGGTTACTGCTGTGCAAAGGCATAGAGAGAGAAGATGGGTGGGTCTTTTGTAAGGAAGTGAAAGACCAGTGGATCCTGAAGAAGTCAGCAAGCCTGACAATGAAGTGCCCGGCACCGCGCTGTGCATCCGAGATACAGAGAAAGGCAAACAAAAAAAGTCCCTGATCTCAAAGGAAGTCACTTCCTAGTGAGAGAAACAACGTGAAAACAACTATGTACAAATAAGCCATAGACAGGATAGACTGAGGCAGTCTCATAGGGAAGGCATTAATTTTGAAGACTAGGCAAGTCTTATTGCAGAAGGTTGGATTTTAACTGAGAATTGAAAGAAACCGGGGAAGCCAGGAGGCACAGATGAGGAGAGAGAAAGTTCCAAGCATGGGGAGAACAGCATGTGAAAATACTGATTCAGAGATGGTTGTGGTTGTTATTGTTGTTGTTGTTGTTGTTGTTGTTGTTGTGTTGTGTGGGAAGAACAGAAAGGCAAGGAGGCCAGGGTCACTGGATTATAGAGTACATGTCTAGTGGAAAGGTTGGAAGGGACTAGGTTTTGAAGGGTTTTAAAGACCAACGAGAGGATTTTCTATTTGATCCTGAAAGTAATAGAGAGCTACTAAAGCTTGTTAAATAGGAGGGTGTCAAAAATGGGAGTATTATATACAAAAGCTAGAAAAGTATGTTGAGACCAGGTTGTGTTCTGCTATAAAAACTAAACAGAGCAATTGTATTTTAGCCTAGAAGCAATAGGAACTACTGAATTGGGGAGTGACATAGATCTGTACTTAAGGAAAATCACTTTGGCAGCTTTGTAGATGAATTCAAGTAGGAGAAAGTTGAAACAGAAAGACCAATTAAGAGTCTGTTGCAATAATTTAGACAAGAGGTAATGAGGGCCCGAACTATGGTGGATAGTCAAGTGAATAAAGAGAAAGAGTTGAATAGGAAAAATTATCGGCAAATGAAAATGCAAGATTTGGCAACCACTTGGATATGTAGGGCGAGGGAAAGTAAAGAGGCCAGGATAACACAGAAGTTCTGAACTAAATAGACTGGAGGAATGGTGGTGCCTTTGACAGAAATAGGAAATTTGGAATAGTGGTGGTTTTGAAGGGAAAAATAATAAATTTTGTTTTATCATGACAACAGCTAATATTTACATAGTGCTTTAAAATTTTTAAATGCTCCCTGTAAGTTATCTTAGTTGATCAAACCCTTGAAGGGAGAGGTGTTGCTTTTATTATGCTCATTATGCAGATGAGGAATTTAAGAAAATAGACATTAAATGATTTGCCAGGATTATACAGCTACTAAATGTCAGAGGTAAAATTTTCATCAGTCTTCCTGACTCTGGGCCTAGCACTCAGTCACTTATACCATGCAACCGCTCATTGAGTTAGACGTGACTCTAGAAACCCAGTTTTAAATGTTGAATAGGCAATTTGTGATGTGGGACTGAAGTTCATAGGAGAGACTAATGCTAGATACATAGATTCAGGAGTCATCTGCCTTTGTTGTTGTTGTTGTTGTTCAATTGTTTAGTTTTGTCTGACTCTTCCCCCATGGACCACAGCACACCAACCCCTTTTATTCTCCACTATCTCTCAGTCTATCCAGGTTCGTGTTTGGTGTTTCCATGACACTATCTATTCATCTCCTCCTTTGTCATCCCCTTTTCCTGTTGCCTTCTATCTTTCCCAACATCTGTCTTTCCCAACTCCCAATGAGTTCCAGCTTCTCATTCTGTGGCCAAAGTATTTAAGCTTCATTCTTCTTCAGTATTTAATATTCCAGTGAATGGTCTGAATTAATTCCTTTAAGTATTAACTGATTCGACCTCCTTGCTGTCCAAGGGATTCTCCAAAGTCTTCTCCAGCACCAGAATTTGAAAGCATCGATTCTGCAGCACTCAGCTTTCCTTATAGTCCAATTCTCACAGTCACACATTGCTACTGGAAAAGCCAGAGCTTTGACTATATGGACCTTTATCATCAAGGTGATATGTCTGCTTTTTAGTATGTTATCTAGCCTTACCATAGCTTTCTCTCCAAGGAGCAAGCATCTTTTAATTTCATGGCTGCAGTCATAGTCTGCAGTGATCTTTGAGGCCAAGAATATAAAATCTGACACTGCTTCTGTTTCTTATCCCTCTATTTACCAGAAAGTCTTGGGAGCAGTTGCCAAGATCTTAGTCTTTTTGATGTTAAGCTTTGAGCCAGCCTTTACACTCTCCTCTTTTCTTAATTCCTCTTCATTTTCTGCCATCACAGTGGTCTCATCTGCAAATTGTTGATTGTTGGTATTTCTCCTGGAAACCTTAATTCCAGCTTTTGATTCATCCAGTCTGTCATTTCCCATAATTCTGCATATAATTTAAATAAATAAAATGACAATATACAGCCTTGTCATACTCCTATTTCAATCTTAAACCAACCAGTTGTTCCATGTTTGGTTCTAACTGCTGCTTCTTGGCCTTCATACAGTTTCCTCAGGAGACAAATAAGATGATCTGGTATTCTCATCTCTTTGTAGGCTTGCCACATTTTTTGGGATCCATACAGTCAAAGGCTTTAGTGTGGTCAGTGAAGCAGAAGTAAATGGTTTTTGGAACTCCCTTGCTTTCTCCATAATCCATTGAATGTTGACAATTTGGTCTCTAGTTCCTCTGCCTCTTTAAAAACCATCCTGCTCTTCTGGTAATTCTTGGTTTACATATTGCTGAAGCCTAGCTTGCAGACTCTTAAGCATAACTTTGCTGGCATGTGAAATGAGTGCAATTATTCAGTAATTTGAACATTCCTTGACATTGCCCTTCTTCAGGACTGGAATGTAAACTGATCTTTTCCAATCCTGTGGCCACTACTGAGTTTTCCAAATTTGATGACTAAACTTATGGGCATTGATGAAGTCACCAAGAGAGTATATAGAGAAGAGAGTATGGATTATAAACCAGCAAAGGAGACTTTTAGATAGGTCCCAGGAGAAAAGTGTCATGAAAAGAGAAGAAAGAGCAGACAGGAGGAAAGGGTAGCCGACAGTGTCAAATGCAGCAGATAGGTCAAGAAGCCTAAGGATTTGGGGGTTGGAGGAGGGGAGACCATAAGGTTTGGTAATTAAGAGAAAGTTGGCAATTTTGGAGAGAGCTGTCTGTTTCAATTGAAGCCAGAAGCCAGACTGCAAAAGGTTGAGGAGTACATAAAAGGAGAGGAAGTGGAGGCAAGAAATACATACAGCTTTTACTAGGAGTTTGGCTGAGAAAAGGAGTTATAATATGATAGCTTGAGTGAGAGATATGGTATTGCAAAGTTTGTTTTTTTCAAGATGAAGGGAGCAAATATGTTTGAAGGCAGTAGAACAGAACTATCCCAGTAGATAGGGAGAGGTTGAAGATTGAGGGAGATCAGAAAGGGAGGCTGATTGAGGTTGCAATCTGCTGGAGAGGACAGAAGAGGATGAGATCAAGAGCACAGGCAGAGACGTTGGTCTTGACAAGGAGAAAGCCTGCCTCATTGTCAGAGACTGGGAGAAAAGGAAAAGAAAGTGAGAGTAATATCAAAGTGTTATGAGATTAAGAGAAGGTGAAAAGAGGAAACTTCCATTAAGTGGCCTTAGTTTTTGAAGTAAAGAGGCAAGGTCCTCCACTGAGAGGCAGGAGGGAGAAGGAAGATGACAGAGGGTTAGGAGAGAAAAGAATGTTTGGGATAGGTTCTATGGAGAATGAGATGGAGAATCACTTAGAAAGGAATAAATTACTCTCTTGCTGAAATGTGGCCTCAGTTGAAGTGGGTTGATGGAGTTTGTAAGGTACCTAATCACCATGGGTGTGTGACTTCCTCTATGTCCATTGAGCAGCAAGTTGAGTAGGGGCAGAGAAGATGGAGAGAAATAGTAACCCAGGGCTGAGGTTTGGCAAAGGACAAGGGGTGTTAGTACATGGAGGGAAGGAATTCAAGAGTACAGGACAGTATAGAATTGAATTGTCCAACTACAAGGCTGAGATTGGAAAGGGAGGAAAGTGAAGTGAGCAGGGATAGTGTCCTAATAAAGTACTGAGGGGCAATTTTTTAAAAGCTATTCCTCACTTGATAAAAGTTCAAAGGATATGAATAGGCAGTTCTCAGGG